TTGCCCTATTTCTCAACAGTGTCTCCTATTTCTCATCAGTATCCTCACGTTTCCCACAAATATACTCCCATTTCCCATCAATATACTCTATATCCAATCAATGTATCACCATTGCTCATCAATGCATTTCCCCCCAACAAAATATCATATTCCCCATCAATAGACTCAGTTCCCACAAATATACTCTCATTTATGATCAATATACCCCATTCTCATAAATATCTCCCCCATCCCATCAATATACTCCTATTTTCCATCATGACACCCTGTTCAGTGGATGCCTTTGACCACAAGGAGCCTGTGTTTCATCTTCACAATAGTATTTCATCTCTGCATGACCCACCCTTTCTTCTGCCCTCTGGTGTCTTATGAACTCTGAGCCTCTTTCAGTACAACCCTTCCTCTTTCTATTCGAGCCTTGTTTAAAATGCTGTCACTGCAGCTCAAGAGAAGTGTCAGATGTGAAGGAACCACCCACTCAGGAGGCAGTTACCACCCACACAGACAGCTGAACAGGAAAAGCGAAGAACCAAACCACGATTTTAGGCTTTACTCTGAAACAGACAATTTTCTGGTCTCTGTGAGAAATAAAAAGGTGGATCCCTTCCTCATAATTGGGGTTTGGGCGGTGTGTGTGTGTGTGTGATAAGAGCAGTTGGGGTTAAGAACCGGTGACTTCCCACCATGTTCTTCACCTCCGGGTCAATTATTTTGCTGGTTGCGATTTCAAGTAAGTAGCATTTTCATGTCTCCAGCTGGAAATATTTGCTATTGCCATTTTGAAAACCCAACCACTCTTAAAAAGCCTAGGCTCGGAAGGGTTAAATGTTTAAAGGGGTGTATGCAATTAAGGTTAAGGTTACCCTAAGTAATGCGGTATAGGCATCTAAATCACTTAGGGTGAGAATATTTAAAGTTGCCTAAGATTATAGTGTTTAGACTAAATATTTTTCTTTCCCCCCTCTCCCACAAGGGACCTTCGGGGACTCGGTCACACAAACTGAAGGCACCGTTCTTGTCAAAGAAGGAGCACCTTTGGTTATTGAGTGTACATATGAGACTATCCTATTCCCTTATCTCCTCTGGTATATTCAATACCCCAATGAAGCACCGAAGTTATGGCTGAGAGATAAAACATCAGGGGGTGGCCAAGATGAAGGGGAAAAGCAGGGCTTCTTTGCTGACCATGTCCAAGACAAGAAATCCTTCGATTTGAAGAAAAGCTCCAGCGAAGTGAACGACTCTGCGGTCTATTACTGCGCCTTCAGAGACACAGTGATTGCAACCAGCAGGGGAGCTGAACAAGAATCCACCGAGAGAGGATGAAGCACAGAAACTCTAGATTTCTATCTCTGAAAACAAAATCCAACATGTTATATTTCCATAACTTGACTTC